TTATATTTAAATTATATTTATATTATTTTTTCGTTCTATTTATATTATATTTATATTGTACTTTCCTAATGTCCATTTTGTGTTTATATTATATATATATGTTATATTTATATTATATTGATGTTATATTTCAAGTAATGTGTATATTGTACTTACATTATATTTTTAATATATTTGTATTATTATATTTCAAGTTATATATTTATATTTTATATTTATATTACATTTTTAATATATTTATATTATTTTTATATTATTTTTATATTGTATTTATATTATATTTATATTATTTTTGTGTTATACATATATTGAATTTATTTTATATTTATGTTGCATTTACATATCAAGTAATTTATATTTTATATATACATTGTATTATTAATATATTTATATTATATTTATATTTATATTTATATTTATATTTATATTTATATTTATATTTATATTTATATTTATATTTATATTTATATTTATATTTATATAATTATATATGTATAATTATGTTGTATAATAATTATTACAATTTATTTTATATATTTATTTTTTTATATTTAATTTATTTTATTTTATTTTATATATAACTTCAAAAATTTTATGTTTAAAAAATAATAAGTAAAATACGAAAGTAATAAAACATGAAAAATATTAAACATACAACATTAAAAACACATATACAAAAATATGCTAATTGTGTTATTTTAGTTCATTCCAAAAATATAGCTAAAACCGATTTAATAATGATTTTTGCTATAACATCAGGAACATAGACATGAAGTGCAAGAATAATTGGCATAAAATAGTTGTTAAAAAGTACTATGGAAATAAAAAAAATTATTTAATAAGACGACAAACATAACGAACAGCAAGCAAGAAACAAATAAACAAACAACCAAACAATCAAACAATCAAACAATCAAACAAACACTTACGTCGATGCGTACTAGAATTATTGGATATAGACGTTCTACGAGTATTGTACGAGGGAGTTGTGTTCCGTACTGAACGTTTGTTTTTCGAAAATATTGTTGTTAATTGATATTGATTATCATTATAAAGGTGATATGGATCACTGTTATTGTTCTCATTAGATTGTTTTTCATAATTGTTATCGTTGCTTACGTCATCATCATAAATTTTGTTATCGATATCAGTTTCAACAACGCTAACATCAGAAATATCTTCGAAACTGTTCGTACGATGAGTTACAGCATTGATTTTGTTGTTAGAATACACATACATATCAGCATTACCATCACCAACACTATGTACAATAGCATTACCATCACCAATATTTTGTGAATTTCTTTCACTTGTTACATTATTATTTTGATTATTTTGATTATTTTGATTATTTTGACTTTTTTCAATATTAATATCAATATTATTAGTGTTTTTACGTTTACTAAAGACAGTGCGATTAGTTACATTAAGAGAGTTAGTTACTGTACTTTTTTGTTGTGATGAAGTCGTTTTCGTAGTATTCTGTACAGATGTTGCCTCCACCGTTCTTCTTACATCCCAATCAGAACGCATAGCTGTAGTTTTACATATTTTTATATATTGTTTTTGTTAGAAATATTAATATATATTTATTTAATTATTTAGAGTACGTAAACACCAAACAAAAAAAATACAAAGAGAAAGAAGACAAAAAAGAGAGAGAGAGAAAGAGAAACATTTTTTTAGATTTAGATTTTAATGTAAACACTAGATTAGGAACGTTTCAGATTAACCGTAACCAACAATAAATTTTTGACATTTAGTAGTTGATAACATTTTTGGTTATGTTAAGAGAAGGATCTATGTTTGCTTTTCTGTAAAAACTAGGTAAGTAGCTTACCCGTTCGTTTTTTTTAAAGGTTATTTCAAGCAATGTGAGTGTGTTTGACATAGTCACTATTTTAGTGGTTAATATATCATTTGTTTGTTTTACTTAAATACGAGTATTTAAACTTACGAAAAACAAGTCAAATAAAATCATAAAAAATAAAGAGAAAACAATCACAAATTGTGGGGTGCAAAACTCACGATTAATGTCATCGTTACCATAAAACTGGACAGTAAACTCCGTTTGTTCATCCTCCTGGTCTGGCGAGGGAATTTTCGGACGGCATATATAATCGCCACCGTCAGTAACTGCGCGTATAACGATAACGAAGCCACGCCGTGGATCATATCGTCCCGTATTTTCACTGGAGAATGTCTAAATATTTAGTCAAAGATATTTTTCTATTTTAAAACTTTTTCTTTTCAATTTCTTTTTTAAGCAAAATTGCGTGCGTACATGAAGTTTTTTTATGAAATACAAGCACAAATGAAGTAACATTTGAAAAAACTGGTGATATATTAAGAAAGAGAGAGTGAGAAAGAGAAAGAGAAAGACAGAGAGTGAGTGAGTGTGAGAAAAAGAGAGAAAAAACGAGATAACTACAGTGTTACAGAAATTGTGAGAACCTTGTTGTGTCAATAGGTGTGGCATTTCGATACTTCTTAATATACCAGAAATTTAATTACAGTAAAGCTCTCTAAGGCCCATGTTATGTAGAATACGGGAAGAATCACGGGCATGCCAAAATCAAAACTATTGTTGCTTCCACTGCAAATTAAATATCTACGAGTGAGAAAAAAAACAAATGTCCGTTCAAATTCGATCATGAGAGCCGAGGCTACATGTGCCTCGTCACTCAGTCAAAGCCGGGTTGTATGTATATATGTATATATTTCCTTTAAAATTGAGGAACAACCAAAAAGTACAAAATTAATAGTAAAAATACGAAATTGACAAACTGATGTGATATTCTGCATTATACGCATTTTCGTCATAGCCCGAAAGAGTCAATTCTGATGTGGGCGTGACACTCTAACATCATATTAGCTTAAAGCGGCGCTGATGGATCAGCATTTTTATTCGAGTTAGAGAATTGTCCTTTTAAAGAATATACTTTGTTTTAGAAATCAAAACTGGGAACTCTTTGTATTGAAAGTAATATTGAAAATGTGATTATCAATAAAATTTTCATATTAAATGTTTTAGATATCTTTTACTCAAGGAATAGTTAAATAAAAATATTGATTTATAATCGTATAATCGTAGTGATTTATTAGTAATCATGTATTGGTATTTATTAAATTTTCTCTATTAAAAATATGTATTGATGCATAAATTTCTTTACAATAGTAGAAGATTATTTAATGAGTTTAATTTAAAGTAGTTATTATATTACATATACAGTATTGTACTTGACTCGACAGATATGCAGCAGTATGTGCTATTTTTCATACAAAATCGGTACAAAATTCATATAATTAAATGGTACAGAGATTCGATAGGACTAAGTGTAAATATAGTGTCACATTTGTAATGATGGAATAAAAGTCTAAATGTATGTATACATATATAGACAGTACATATGTATTAAAATAGAAATAAAATTATTATTTGTCTATTGTTGATAATAATTAGTTTAAAACTTTTGAAAGCTTATTACTGTTGTAGTAATAGTAAGAATAATTGAAGGGTAGTTTGAAATAAAATAAACAAAATAAATAAAATAAATAAATTTTATATAAAATATTAGAATATTTCAAAGTACATGAGAAGGTTTTTTTTTAGAATTTTTGTTTAATAGTTAATTATTTTTCTGAAAACTACGCTTCCTATGACGTCAAAGAAAATATTTTATAAAAGTTAGAAGGAGTCGAATAAAAAGGAAAAAACAAGAACAAAAATTTAGCTAATTTATTGGATATATTCGAAATTTCTTTTTAATTGACTTATAGTCCATATATAATTTGTTTGGATTGCAAGTGCCTGGCTTAGAACTCGTACCTATCAAATTAGAAGCGATGACTAATCGTGTTCTTCCATAATTAGCCAAGGCTGCACGAACTTTCAATGCTCAACTTTAAGGATTTTTTTTCACTTTTTTATTTTTTAAGTGACATTAACCAAAGCACTTTCCGTGCTTTAAATTAGAACGAGTTCATAAACCTTAGCTATATTTGGAAACACAAATTCAACGAATTGAAAGTGTATATTTACTAGATTACAGACTATGTCCACTTTTTTGGATGTTTCAATACTTTTTTATTACAGCGCTGAATCTCTTTATACTAATGAAAGGATGGAGAATCTTATTTACGTAAGATTAATATATTTATCAACTATGATATGTTTTGTAATACGGTGCTGCCTCTAATTCCTTTCATAGTAACGAATCGATGGAGAAACTATTTTATGGAGGGTTAAAAAATTTATTAACTATAATTTATATATAAGGAATGCAAGGACCGAACTCAGGCGGTATAACCTGAAAACATCTACCATAGTAGAGGAGAAACTTTCTAGCTGCTAAACAGAAATTTTATTCCCAGATTTGCAGGGGAGTTGGTCCTCCACGTTGGAGGTTGATCGCAAGGTAAGCAGCATCGCATTAGAAAAAACACATGCTACGTGACTTCTTTATAAAAAAGAAAGTCAACTTTTACACTGGACTGTAGTGCCAAATAAGAAGAAGAATTTATTTATAAACATTTATTTAATAATAATTTAGAGACTTAATAATGGTGGTTTATGCAGCTAAATACTAAACATCTTAAAAATGTGACAATACAAACAATAAAAAATAATAGTATTTGTTTTTATTAAAAAGAAATGAATAAGCATTTTCTCTATTAATGTCCAGAAAAAATAAGTTTCTGAAGATTGTTAATGGGTAAGACCGAAAGATCTATTTAATTATTAACGGGACGAATCATGTCTTTTTATGTTTTAAGATTTCTTGCAAAGATTGAGGTAGTAAATAGGCGAAAAATCATTAAGTAACCAATCAAGGTATTACTTTGTTTTTTCTTTTTGGTGGGTAAACACTGTGTATATGTCACATTTGTACTTACTTTGCTGACAACAATCTCATATAGAAATGAACTTTTGTGAACGTTTACGTTTAAAACATTAACGCTCATTTTACAATTCACACTTAAGTGTATTTTTGACACTAAAATTACATTTCTTTAAGGTCGTGTGCGAGTTAGGCTAAGTTGCGTTCTAAATGAGGGAAATTCTAAGTTGTGTCGATAATGTATTGATGTGTCGATACGTGTTGATAAATGGCAAAATGTGTGCAGTACTAAAAATCCAAAAAAATCTCCCATTTGGTTTAGCATCAACTTAGCCTAACTCGCACACGTCCTAAATATAAAAAGATTCCTTAGGTTCAAACTTAAGTGTCGTTTAGAAATTAAAATCATATTTTTTTTAAATTAAAAGCGATTCTTTAAGGCTTAAGGTCCAATTTCACAATCCACACTTAAATATCGTTTTGAAACTCAACATTGAACATAAAAAGGTTACTTAACTGAAGTGTGCATTTCATAACTGACCCTAATTCTTCTTAAATTCTAATTCTTCTGACCCTAAATCTTCTTCTAATGATAACCAAACATTGTTATTAACCTCCGAATTATTTTGTACTATCTCACAGAGATTCCGTAGCACTATTTAATTTATCTTTGAGTGTTTTCTGTAAAGAGAAACATTTTTGGGAAAATTACTCCATAAAAATTAAGGAGATAGTCTTATAGATATATCAGCTAAGAATGTCAAACATAATAGTCTAAAAAAAAAAATTTTAAGAATATTAAGAGCATTACTCACTGATCTTTTAAAATTTTCAAGTAGACTTAAAAATTGAAAAATTTAATATACGTGAACGTGGTCTTGACTTGAACTTAAAGAGAGACGAGACCACATTAAAGATTACTACTATTGGAAATCGGTATGAAACGAATAAAATTTTATTGTATGAAATTAATTGATAATAACGGTGAAGATTGGATCTTTTTAATAGATTTAACTTATAAATTTGAATTTTGTACAAATTCTTATTAAGTATAAAATACTAATGGTATTGTTTTTCTATATACAACTCTGCCATTACTAAATAATTACGCTAACCTAAAATTATTTATATACCATATGCATATATATATTTATTATAATTTTATGTACAAATATTTTGTATAAATTTTTGAAAATTGACTTATAATGGCCATTATATATCTTTCGAAATTTATACTCTACTTAAAATAAGAGAATATTTTGCCTTCGATTTATATATGTATATCTAAGGAACATATCGATATATTTACAAAATATTATAAATAGGGTATATTATATGTACATAATATATTTTTTTATACATTTTATAGTTCTATGTTATATCACTACTATTGAAGATAGGTTTTTTGTTTTGAAAATAATACGAAATTTTTAACATACGTAAAAGTATCATAAATATATCATGAGTACTGTTTTTATCCTTATATTTGCCCCCGCAAACAAAATAAGAAGGAACATTTTTCACATGGTATAAAGTGAATCCCGTTTTCGGATTATATGTAAAATGATACAACTCGGATTGCATAGTGCATTTTGTATTGTTGCATAGTTTCGAGGAGCCTATAATCTGTTCCTAAATATAAGACCAATAAAGGAAATAAGTAAGCCAATAGAAAAGAAATCAAAAGAAGAAAAATTTAAATGAATAAAATAAAAATAAATAAATTTAATAAAAAGGAATGAATTAAATCAAAATAAATGAATAAGAATGAAAAAGTATTATGCAGCTTTATACTTTTAAAATAAGAGATCTGTGTGTTCTTTATGTGATTTTATGTTAATTTCACATTGCAATAAAAAATGATGAACAAAAGCTTCAAAGCATATGATACAAAGTTCTGGAGAAACTTACCTCGCCACCGGGAGTCGTGAGCAATACATCAACTTGAGGCGAAGTGGGCTTACAAGGGATGACTACATCTTGAAATTGTTTGGCGTCAACAATTGGAATTGGTACAGGTGCAAGTAAGTTTATTTGATCTATGATTATTATATTATGTCACAAAAAAGAAATATTAGAAAATTTTATGTACATAAAGAAAATATTTCATTACACCTACCGTTCACGTACAGATATATGCTTGAAGCCTGATTGTTATTTATTAATTCTATAATTTTATCATCGAGTTGTTGTACATCGTCTGATAATTTTGTGCTTGAATTTTTTATACAAACATAACTACTAACATAATCATGGGTTATATCGGTAAGATATAGCATACTGCCATACGGTCTTTCTGGATCGTTTGTATCAAATTCCTTAATTTCATATTTCAAAAACAGTGCGTTGTCGAATTTCCAGAAAACTGGTTCATTTGCTTCACATCGTATGGTATAATTCGAATTGACTTCGACCGTTACTTCTTCCAGTAGAGGCGTTATAAGCGGTGCTCCATATTCAGTAGCAAAGTTATTATGAAAATCATTATGGTATTTGTTTTCTGGAACTAAAAAAGGAAAATATGTATTTGAGTAAATGTTAGGCAAAAAATAAAAAAATATTTTATATATTTTACGCATAAAATTTATAAAGCTTGAAAATCTAACTAGTTTAGCACAACTAGCTTAAAATCTCTAAACATTTTCTTAAAATTTTTTTTGAATATAGTAGTAACACTAGGTGGATTGAAAAATATTCGGCCTAAATAATTTTTCGAAAATTATAATTTATGCTTCAATATAGTCCCCGTTTAACTCATCACACCAAGTCTAACGATTTTTTAACATTTTTCAACCTTAAAAATAATACGATTTATCAAGAACTGGTTTTCATTGACCCGGTGTGAGCGGGTGCATTATCCTGCAAAAACAAAATTTTTTTCTTCAATAAATGTAGTCGTTTTTTCCTGATTTCCTCATTCAATCGATCCAATAGTAGTCTGCTGTTATTGTTTTTTATTTTTGCAAGTAGACTATAAAAATTATTCCACTTGAATCCCAAAATACGGGAGCCAAAACTTATTCAGCCGATTGTTGTGTTCATGGCCTTTTGTGAGCACTGCCCGCGGGCTCCACCCATTCTTTGGTTTGTTGTTTTCCTTCAGATGTAAAGAAATGGATCCATGTTTACTCAATTGCCACTACTCGAAGCTAGATTGTCATAGTCATCTAGATTGTGCATAAATATTTCCAAACAACGTTTTGAATGACAAAGTCGTTGGGGTGTTTAACTATTCTATGATTTTTAGTAACCTAACGCGACACCTATCTTGCCGAAATCTTTTTAATACACAAATATTCATGTAAAATATTTGATACATTTTTATATGACATGTTTCACATCTCTGCCATCTCACGCAATTTTATTTTTGAATCATTCAACCCTATATAGTGACCTCTTTTGAATGACCTGGACGCTCTTTATCAAAAACACTCGTAAGACCACGTTCAAATTCAGCTTTCCAATATTTTATTGTTGTTAACGATGGTGTGGATGGTAAACAGAATCTATTTCCAATTTGTTGCATCATTTTTCATTCCTTAAAATGGATGAATTTTATTCCTGAACGATGTTTAAATTTTTTCATTTCATGAAAAAATAACAAGGTACACTCCACTCATTTCAATTATTTGCAAAAAGCTAACCAAACATCTCATGAAGTCGAAACCTTTACAGCTGTCGTTTTAAACTTGCCACCTGTTGTGAAGTCAGGTAATTATCAATCCATCTAGTATATTAAAATGGATGTTTTGTATCATATCATTCTAATATGATATGACATATAACATAACATATTATAATAAAAACTTCATTTATTGTTTTAACTCATATCTGGTATGCATAAAAGCAGAGGGATTTTTCTGAAATTATTGTAAATTTAGATGCCAGTATGTTGGCATCTAACGCATATTTCATATGTGGTCTTAAGCTGTTATATTTATTTTTTATCATCTGAATTTTTTATTATTTATATAGAAAAAAACCTGGAAGCTAAAAAACTAGAGCTATTTCGCAGTCAATTATATGCTGACAACAATAACAACTTAAACCTTATCGTGTCATGGATGCAGTATCTTGGATTATTTACAAAACATTACAAAGGCTCATAGTACAGAAACAAAAGATTTACTCGACTTCACATATGGTACGTTTACTATATTTTTAAGACTTTTGTTTTATTTTTTATATTTTGTCTGTGTTTGTGAATGGAGCTCGATGGTGTGCATATATTTATATATGCAGACTGTATGCCTGATACCTTATTTTACGACTACGTTGTGCTATTTTTGTACGCAATTTTATTTATATTTTATGTTTACAAATCATTAATATATATATTTAATACTAATAATTGTTTGTCACAATATTTTGCTATAAATATATTTTGGTATTTCGCAAAACAAACGAGAAGAAAAATTTACTTTAACTTTAGCGCGGTTTCCATCGCACAAATAAAGATATCTATTATTATAAACTAATTATTATAAAACCTTTTTAATATAAAAATATAAAAAGAAAGGAAATGTCGTAGTCTTAAAAAAGTACATATACATATTATTGATCAGCTAAATGATCTAGAACTTACATAGTGAGCGATTAGTGATTAAGAACTTAAACAGTGAGTGATCAGTGATCAAGAACTTGAACAGTGAGCGATTAGTGATCAAGAACTTGAACAGTGAGTGATCAGTGATCAAGAACTTGAACAGTGAGTGATCAGTGATCAAGAACTTGAACAATGAGTGATCAGTGATCATTGATCAAGAACTTGAACAGTGACTGACCAGTGATCAAGAACTTGAACAGTGAGTGATCAGTGATCAAGAATTTGAATATTGAGTGATCAGTGATCAAGAACTTGAACAGTGAGTGATCAGTGATCAAGAACTTGAGCAGTGAGTGATCAGTGATCAAGAATTTGAATATTGAGTGATCAGTGATCAAGTGAACTTAATCAGTTAACTTCATTCAGCACGTCTGTACGTCTGTATATTTTATCCCAAATTACTCTCTTAGTTTTTCAGCTATTCGAATGATACATGCTTTGCAAATATTTTTTTTTTTGTGTAACTAATTCAGTTGTCGGATTGGCCGAAATCGGATCACAAAATCTTATAGCTGTTATATTGTCTAAATAATCTAAATAATATTCAATTTAAATTTAGTGCAGAAAATACTTATATTTATTTAAGATAATGTATATAAAATTTTATTCATATCGGTTGAGATTTACTTATAGTCGCCATATAAAATCGGACAAACTTTTACATTCTTTAATTTATTTGCTTTCAATTTTGAATTTAAGTGTTTGCTATAAATTGAATACTCATAATAGAAAAGATTTTGATCGGTTCAGTTTTGTATATAGTTTTTTTTATAAACTAATACTTTAGATTCATATTATTCTATATCATTTGTACTGCCATCTACACTTAAAGCGCCTTCAATTTAAATGTTTAACGAAATATCAGCGTAGGTATACAAAATATTTATTACAGTTTCAATTAGTATTATTATATATTATTTTAAATATATTATATATATTTATGTATATATATCAAAATTAGGTGAAAAGGGATTGAAGCAGTGGCAATGTGGATGTTAACACCTTTACTTGTTTTGGCTTTAAATTTAATATAATTAGTTTTAATTCATTGTTTTAATATTCAAATTTGTTTATATATTTTTGTATGGTCAATGTTAATTAGTCAATGTTACTTTTGCCCTGATGTCTTTACTCCTAGCGCCCTCCCTGCAGACTTCGTCCAAGCTATGCGTTTTACAATACCACACGTTTTATTACGATGAGTACACCGTGGCGTTCGTGATCTCGTACACAGAGTCTACCACGGACTATAAACTAATTAAAAAATTTGAATATTTCCGAAGATCACTTACAATGAGTACTTGGCAATACTCGAAAAAGCGTTGTATGGTCAACCAAATTTCAATAAATTAACTAAATTTTTTGTTGTTGTCTTTTCTTCTCTATTCGAATCCTTGTTTTCGTCATAAAACGCATCATTTTGGCAATAAAAAATTAACATTATAAAAAATTTTAATTTTTTTAAGTATTTATATAAAAAAAATTTTAAATTTATGCTATATTATGTTCTTAGCTTGTACTTTATTTGTGTTTTATTCGAGTTTTACTATGAGTAGCTGGTAGAACAGACCTATAATGTGATTTTTTTAAGCAGATTCTTAACTGATGAAGAAAGTGGATCACCCACTACATTCCGAACACTAAAACGTTTGGAAAGGTGGAAGAGAAACTGTAAAAGAGGTTTGAAAACGTCGAAATCGAAAGCGGTGCTTTTAGCCGAGAAGGATTTAGCTATTATTTACTTGGAATGTCGAAGACGAGTTGCTGCTGATTACCTCGTAAAGGGTCTTACAATCACTGAAGATTATTATGCCTATTATATGATTATGTGAATTAGAAAAAGTTTAGATATCTTTACCTATGTTGTGTCCAAAACTTTTCGAATAATCCTCCTGTTATTTTTGCAAATTATAATGTAACTACAGATTGTACAAAATACTTGTTTGATATATGTATTTATATATATATACCTTTATGAAAATACCGAGTAAGTAATTAGTTCTCAGAGCTAATTTGGAATTGTTTGGCATGCACAGATAACATACAACGAAATATTTAATATTTTTTATATATTCGCCTATAGAGGCAATGGAGCTTATCAGTATATAAAGCGGACACATTAACATTTATCTTGTTTATTTAAATAATTACTTATCCATTATTCCACGAACAGAATAATGCTTTGCAAAATATTATGAGAAAAATAAAAGTTCTTCAAATTTAACAGTCTTTAAAGCAAAATACTTTAACAATCCTAAATTCTAAGCTCCATACATTATACTTTATATCTATATCTTTAGGTATCTATTTTCTAACTATTATGTGCACATAAATTTAATAAATTTGTATAAAAAAACTGACAGCAAACTTCCAATCCTAACTATTAGAAATGCATCAAAGACAGTAAAAAAAGCAATTTGTATGTAAATAATGTATTTTATTTATAACAAAAAAAATGAAAATTATCGATTAAGAATTTAATCACATCGGCAATGTTATCAACGTACTTTGATCGGAAAATTAAAGCAAAAAAAAAGAGAAAAAAATAAAAATAAATTTAAATGCAAAATAGCGGCGAATCAAAAATACTCTGACTTTTCAGTTTTCGCTATTTGTTTAGTTTTTCTTTCGAATCAGGTTTTTAGTTTCTTTATTATTACGATGGAGTAAGTTTAGGGTCTCGCGGAAAATAGAAGAGAACTTGTAACAAATGAAATTGTTTTGATTTCATATAATAGTTGAATGTTTGGGAAAACCTGTGTTTAGACGATAATTCACTTTTTGATTGGAAAATAACAAAAATGTGAGAGATAACCTCTGGATCCAAAAATTAAAAAACATCCATTGGGAGGAGAATTCATTTTCAATATAAAATCAGTTACAGAGTGCGAACATACTAACTGATTACACAGACAGTTCCGTCACTGAAGAGGGAACCGGAGCAGGTGTTTATGAGCCGGGGTTGAAATACTTAAAAAGGGCTAGGTAAAAACACAACTATCTCTCCAGCAGAAATTTATGCAATAGAAAGGTGTGTATACTTTAACTTTGAATCTAACTATCAGAAACAGAAAACAACTATTTTAATTGATAGCCAATAAGCAAAATGAGCACTCAACTGTCATAAAGTGACGTAAAGACTGATGATAGAGTGCTTCAAGAACCTAAATATCCATTGCCAAAACAATCAGATGTGGATTTTATGGAGATTTTATGGATTTTATTGGAGGAAATCACCGTCGGTGCTTGTAGCTTCGGAAGTATTTTGTGATCGGAAGGTATTTTGTTTTTATCCATTCAAAAATAAGAGAAGAAACAAAAAAATTTGTACTAAGCTAAGGCTATTAAAATCGTAAAACGATTTAAAGAATGTTACAACTAAGCAAAAATAAGAATCATTACAGGAACTCTGAGTGACTATTATCTGATCGTCTTATGTTGAGGTTTTTTCGTGAAACTTGGCATTTTTACTCGTTCTTAGCTGGGGGCTTTCTACAGAGTCCCTTGACTAATTTATGTATTCTTCACAAGCTTCGCTGATTATTCGATGACTGGTCTTAGAAATGACAACTTTGTTAAGGCGTTATATAGCAATGTAGTAAAGTTAGTTATTCTGCAGCTCTGCTCATTTGTTACCAGTTTTGTCGATGGATTTTTGAGTTAAACAAATAAAATTTTGCGCAAAGATGGATGTTTGGAATGGACAGTTGATGGACAGTTTGGAAGATGGATGTAATAAATCATTGTCCAAGTTGATCTTAGCTAAATAGACTGCAGATTCTAAGAAATGATGTAGCAACTGTGATCATCGGTACAGATTACTTGGTCTTAGTAAGAAATACTTTGACTCAGAATAATAATTAATATATGTAAACGATGGTATTGCAAAAATTTTGTTAATTTTCAATTTTTTTTTTTTATCAATTTTTTTAGTAATTATAATTGTGGCTTATATTTGATTAAAAAAAAAATTGAGCGCAAGAAGGCGTTTTTTTTTCGCCACACTAATATATGTAAAGGATGATATTGCAAAAACTTTGTAATAGAGATAGATAATAACTCTTTACCTGTCTTTTTAATTTTTTTAAATTTTTCTTTGTTTTAATATAATTTTTGTTTTTGTAGTAATAAAAAACCAAGTTTGTAACTAATATTTGGCTTTAAAAAAATTTAGCATAAGACATTTTTTATTGCCTTTAAAAAAAAAATAATAATAATACTAATAAACATTTTTGAGTTTTTTGTTTTTAAAGCAAGAATAATAATTATTTTTGCGTTTTAAAATAAAAAGCAAAATGTACGAGCTACTGCTGCATGAAAAAATAAAAGACAAATAATAATACCTATTTTAAAAATTATAATATTAAAGAAATTAAGTTATTATTTTTTGAGTTTTTTTTTAAAAGACGAATAATAAGACTTATTAGTTAATTTTTCTTAATTGAGAACTGTTCTCTGTAGAACATTAATAAAAACTGGCTGACGTTTGTTATATATTTTTTAATTAATTTAAATAAATTGATTAATTTGAATAATGTTCATAATGAATATTTGAACACATCAATAAACTTACCTGCTGCACATCCGATAATGTATACACCTATATATAGAAGTATAATGTCGAGAGAGAAGATATGTCGACTACGGCAATTATGTTTTCTGCTGTGTAGGTGTAGAGATAATTCCGTAAACATTTTGAATTGATGATTTTGATTGTCTTTTAATTTTTTATAGATATTTTACTTTCATATAATTGATTATATTCACATACACATTATCAAGCACTTCATTTTCTATAATAACAAATATTTAAATAGATATAATATACACATTTTCATATAAAATAAATTATTAAAAATTTAAATTTTCTTGCATTAAAGACTATTAAAACATTTCAGCACTAATTTCTGTTTTTTTGAATGTAGTAACCGTCTTGAGTCTACTCTTTCACATGAGTTCCCGATAAAAACTATTCTATAACAAACATTGCAGTAAGTGAGATCTTTTCAAAAGTCTCTTCTCCACAAAATAAAACTAAAATAATTTAATCAAAAAAATATATATGTATAAACATTAAAACACATAATATTAAAAATTAACGAGACATTTGCATATGGTTTGTTTTCAGTTACTCGATTTATGTTGATTAAATTTCTCAGATATATATTTTTTTTTTTTTTATATTCTTAAAGTATACGAGTATTTTTTAATGTAACGGCGAGCGCGCCTTTCTTGATGCCTTGACTTGCAGCTTGTAGGATATTTATCTGAAACAAGAAAAAAAATTATTTATAGATTAAGTTATTTAAATGTTGACTGAAAACAATGTTTGTTGTAATGAATAACAAAATAATGTATAAACAAAAAAATTGATAAGTGCCGTATTTTATAAATTCGTTAAAATTTTTATTTCAATTTAAAAAACTGAAGAGATTTTACTGCTGGGATATTCACAAAATTGAAATTATATACCATAATAATAATAACAGAATTTTTTTTATTTTATTAAAACTTGCACGGCAATTTCTCAATAATCATTATATTCGCAATATAAATAATTAATTAATTATAATTAAGTTATTATTTATTATTGTAACAAAACTGCTTGATAGTTCTTTGTATGAACTAGTCGTAGTCAAATGAAACATGTATTTATATTATTGTACATATTGTGTTTCAAATAATAAAACAAAAAAAAAAAAATTATTTATTATTAAGTTATTTTTTTAATTTTTCAACGGTAGAAATAGTTGAGCTCATATCTGTAATCTGTTTTTCCCTAGACATTTGGGGTTGTGATAATGACGAGGTAAACCGGTTTAAAAGGGCTAAAAAGGTTTTTGTTTATTTTAGTAGATATTCTGGTGACAGAAGATATTCTGGTGATGTTCTGGTGACAGATATTCCATATGAAACAAGTTTCTGCTGTGCGTTATTAAAGCTGGAGAGTCACAAAGAATATGCATAGTAGTTTCCTCATCTTCGAGGAATAATCTGCATTTCGAATTTGCACATAATCGTAGTTTATGAAGGCGATATTTTAGGCCATAATGCCCTGTACTTACCCCCGTTATCAACCTTTAATTACATTTTGTGAACTTAAGAGTTTTTTTGTAGGCGTACAGTTTTATCAGTGCTTTTCTTTGTTGAAGTTCTGGGAATTTTTCCTAGTACTTCAGCCGCATATGATTTTACCTATCCAGTTTAACCCACAAAAGGGTTGAAGGCTTACCAACGTAAGTTTTTTCCGTTTTTTTTAATGCTTGTTGATAAACATTACTCGCACGTTGTTTAGCATTGAATTGCTTAGCTACGCATATTGATTATAATTGTTTATTAGAGTACGCATACTGATATTAAGTATTTCAGAACAGAGTTTAGAGGACAGAGGTTATACGAAGTCAAATAATAAATGGTAGTTCAAAAACATATATGCAAAATTTTATATACGCCGGATATCACACAAATTCAAATTTTATTCCAAATTTGTTTTATCTCCTTCAAAATATGCTCCTTCTGAAGCGATACACATATGCCAACGCTTAACCCATCTTCCATACACTTTTCGTAGGCCCGTGAAGGTATGGCTTTTAGTTCCTTCAGCGAATTCTCTTTTACCGATTCAATTGACTCAAAACGCTTACCACGAAAGGGCAATTTGAGTTTCGGGAACAGGAAAAAGTCGCACGGATCCAGATCTGGCGAATATGGTGCCTAAGCGATGATAGTGGTGACGTGTTTGGTCAAAAAATCGCGTACAACAAGAATTTTCCATAGTAAAAATCGCTAAATGCACTTAAGGTAATCTCACATTAACAGCTGCTGTAAACAAACTAATTCACAGATGGCGCTCAAATTTGTACCATATGTCAAGATAACAAAAACAAAAAAATTTGAAAATGGGATATTACTTAAGGAGTAGTTAACAAACAACAAAATCCGGATACTTTTTGAGCAGAAGGTATGTTGTTATTGTTTTGTTTCGTTTCGTAGTATATAAAATAAAATAGACAAGACTTGCATTTTCCGTTTATGATTATCATAAAAAGTACTTTATAAACTGCATTTTCACTGCATTTTCATAAAATAAACTTAATGGAAAATTTCTTCGGAACTTTTTATAATCCCACTCTCATACGAAATTCTAGTTACATCAGTGTTTGACGGTATTTTTTTCTCTTATCAATTATTTTTGGTTGAATGTAGTAACCAAAGTATATCGCAGATACTTTGGCTTGCGTTGTTTAGTTGAAATTAAATTTTCCTTGTGAAGGATAAAAAAGTATTCAATTAGTATTATTTGTACTCGTATGTACACTTGGTAATTTTATTGATGTTATTAGATACGCAGTTGGATGTCATATCAAATATTTGTATGATATTTTTTTCGGCTTATGCGGCAATGATATTAAATACAGTTTAAGTGATTATTTTGCAGTTTGCCTTTTGTGGTAGAAAATAATTGCAAGCCACTTAGTAAAATTAAGATACAACCGACACGCAATGAGACTATCAACAATTCAGTATTAAAGCTGGATTAACCTTAGTTATGTGAAAGTAAGACTTTGACATGAATGTTATAATAAAATAAAAAAATGACATTATCAATTTGACTTTAATAAAGAATATTAAACACTATGTATTTAGTTTTAAATTTTTAATTTAATATATCACTGGCTTAAAACTAGGAAAATATACTAGGAGTTTCTTAAGTGGTATTTAACAAAGTGGTATCTTAACAAAGTGGTATAAAAGATTACTTTTTGGTTCAGGAAATCAATATATTCTACCTAAAATAAAAAACAACTTCACATATAAAGTATTAAATTCCAAAAATTGGTTATTCGAAAAGCTTACATGTACAGGTTTTTGGTCCCTTAAATATTTATTAATGTAATGTTTTATATCTTATTGAACCTTAATGTATTTTAAACTTATATTGCTTTAAAGTTGAGAGGGTTGTCATATAATAGTTGTAGTTGGTTGGTTGGTTGCAATGGCAGGTCATTAGATAGCTTCCATGTACCTCAATAAGCGATTTTTCGCCATTTTGCTAACACATATCTTGCAAGAACCGTAATATAAAAGAGTAGAGACTAAATCCATCCCGTCGAAGTTAGATAATTTAATAGGTTCTTGTCTTCACCGATGAACAGTCTGATAAACTATCAAAGAAGTATCTTCCTAAAAACCTAACTTTTCTGAACACCAAAGAAGGGCATTCGCAGAGGAAATATATTATGGTTTCTTTTTGTCTGCGGATTTCCACAACTTCTGCAGTGATGAATATGGGGAATGTTCAGTTTCTGTGCTGGGTTCCTATACATCGAAAACAAGAAAGAACTGCAGTAAACCTTGAAGTGTTCACAGGGTCTCTTTTGATGAGTTCCGAAGATCTATTTTTATTATAGGTGGGCCATGTTAACCCAGCTATAGTTAGTTAAGTTATATATTATAAGGCCTTTTTTGTATGCATATTGTAATAGAACAACATAAAATAAGCACTACTTTTGATGGCAACTCTGGAAGAATTAGTTTTGTTAAGCTTATTTTGGTATCATCTCATGTGTAGATGAGTTATTGGTAATAATAGGAGTTATTGGAGTTATTGGAATAATAGAATATTTGAATTTATATTTTTTTAATAATATCACATTATCATTGCATTAATATAAAATTTTTGTATAAGTCAAAACAATATTAAAAATTTTATATTATGTCATTGTATTTATAATAAGATTATACTACCAATTCACAAAGTAAAAACTTTTACATATTTATTAATATTTATTAATATTTGTGTCTTGTATATAATACCATATATTATATTAATAGAATTGGGTAAGTAAATGAAATATATATACTATATATGAATATACAGTTTTGAAAAGTCGGAATTTCGAATAAGAAAAGATAATTAAATATAGCGTACTCTTAAACTATAGACCACTTAGAAAATAGAATATATTAATTATATCATGTCTTGAATACTCTGCCATTAGAATTTGTGGTTCTAATTTCATAAAGTTTTCTTTCTCTTAACGTTTCTTCTTTTTCCGCGATTGTTTAAAATATTAATTTTATGAAATGATGCAAAAGAATAGACTTGTTTTCCAAAATAATATATATATATTATATATGCAATTTAACGTCTATTATATCACATTTATTCATTACCTATCACAAACTATAAATAAATATTGCTTTAGGTCAAACTACCCGTTGTTATTGTCCCGAAAACGCCCATGCACGAAGCGTCCATTTTGCAATAAGATACATTATTGAGCAGTGCATACTGTACGCGTCTAAGTTCCTATACTGTGGAAGGTATTTTTGAGTTCATACAATTATTTTGTTTTTGTTAAAATAAAGTGACTGATATTCTTATTAATTTTACATTCTTTTTAAGATAAATTTGAGTTAGAACAAAGAAAGACAAACCCAGTGAAAAGTCGAAATTATTAGATTTCGAATTTGAAGATTGTTAAAGGTTGATCAAAATATCAATATGTCGAATTTTTCTTCTCGGGCCCCAATAGATCATTTTGATGTAGATGTAAAGAAACCTAAAAATGATTGTGATGCAATGAAAATGCAAAATGACATCACTATGGCACCAAGGCCACAACACATTGATTCAATAAAAACTATGAGTGCTGTTATAACAACCACTGAAACCACTAAGTTGAAATCCACTATTAGAACCAAATGTGTAGAAGAGCTTATCATTCCTTTTGCTGAAAATGATCGAATTGCGCAAATGGGTTCGACTGGATTGTGTAGTCCATCTTCAGCCGGACGTGTTATTTGCATGAAATACAAGAAGGTTATACCATCTAAAACCGATCAAATAAAAACGAAAATGCCAAAATCGGATACTAATATAAAGGCATTCCAATTTGATACAAAATCACCAGACGATATTGCTCTGGAAGCTTTACAAAAACGATGGAAATGAGAAATCAAAATATTTCCCTATAAAATTTCAGATATATATATATATTACGTATATACATAAACATATACATATATGTACACATTTTCTAGAAGTGAAATACATTTCTAATTGAAAATATTTCTATTTTTTATTTAATGCCAAAATTACAGTGTATTTGCTCATATTAAGAACACTATTAGTGCATATATGATATTTGAAACGGTAGTACTACAACACTAGTAGTGTACTATATTATTACCCGAGATTTGTTTGGAAATTATTGCATTTATAATTTTGAGTGTTCTGCGATGGCACAAAGCTATCATGTGCAAGTTTTTTTTTTATAACATGAACATGGTTGACTGTGTAACGTGTACTACCTTGATATGATATTTACATTGACTTTTGCTCTTTCTGAGGCTAAAATGACGAGTATTAGGAAAGTGATTTAAATCGATTGCGGTCATATAAAAAAATCTGCTTAAGGAATTGTAGTAAAATGTTTTAAGAATTAGATGAAGCACTACAGGGTTATATTGCACTGACTTTTGCTCTTTCTGAGGCTAAAATGACGAGTATTAGGAAAGTGCTTGAAATCGATTGCGGTCATATAAAAAAATCTGCTTAAGGAATTGTAGTAAAATGTTTTAAGAATTAGATGAAGCACTACAGGGTTATAGTCCATTTATTAGAATGGAGTTGCAAGGTAACAATTAAAATTTGATCTTTTTATCGTTGATCTCTAAAAACAATATCTTAAATAAGAATTTAAAATTTAAACATTTTTTGTACTTTTTAAAATTTAACGAACTTAATTATATAAGCATAAGCAATACTTTAAGCAGAAACCAGTCTTTTAATTCTTACGAAAAGTTGAGCAAAGATGAATGACTGGCTGTGCTGTGTTTTTCTGAATTAAATTTACAAAAAAAAAAAGAAACGATAAGAAAATACTTTAATATTATTAATGTAAATTAATTTTAAATACTGTACCGTTGTTGCTGTTATATCTGATACGTTAGAAATTTCTTTCAAAACAAATTATAATTTTAAGCTTAATTTTGTGAATGACTTTTGAGACTGTAAGAGTACATACAGATATAACGATTATATCTATATGCATAACTATAAATATATTTTAAACCACAAGAAAGTTATATCCATGAGTCAGGTTATATTGTATTTAGAATTAAGGACACACTATGTGAATTGATAAATTCTCAGTCTAAGTAATAAAAACGAATTTTCAATATAGTCCCCTTTTACCTCGACACACCGAGTCCAACGATTTTTCAACATTGGGACACCTTCTAAATAATACGATTCATCAAGTCTTCCAAAATATACCTCAGTTTTCCATTCCACTACATTATTTGATGCAAATCTGCTTCCCTGAAGCCATCTTTACAAGTTTGGAGGAAGAAATATGGTAGATGAGGAAGCAATTTGTGCTACAATTCATTTCATTTGCCACGGTATTCATTGACTCACCATGGTGTGAATTATCCTGCAAAATAGAAATTATCCTGCAAAAACGAAATCTTTTTCTTTTTTCTTGATTTTCTCATTCAATCGATCTAATAATATGTAATAGTTGTCTGTTGTTATTGTTTTTTTTTCTCCAAATAGTCTAATAAAATTATTTCACTTGAATCCCAAAGTACGAAAACCAAGACTTTTCCAACCGATTGTTGAGATCGTGGTTGTTTGGGATCACTACTCTCGGGCTATATTTTGTTGTTTTACTACAGGTATGAAGTAATGGATTCATGTCTCATTAATTGTCACTACTCGACGCTAGATTGTCATAGTCATCTATATTGTGCATAAACATTTCCAAACAATGTTTTGAATGAAGAAGTCGTTATCGTTTTCGGTCTTTGATTTTTGGTGAGCAAACGCGGGACCCCTTTTTCCGCAAGTTTTTTTATACCCAAATATTCATGTAAAATATTTGATACACGTTCATATGATATGATTCTCATCTCTGTTATCTCACACAATTTCATTTTTGGATCATCTAACACAATACCATGGATTTTTTTAATGTTTTTTTTTAATTGTGAGTTCTTTTGGATGTCCCTAAGTTTATCAAAAAGACTTGTAGGACCACGTTTAAGTTCAGCTTTACAATATTTTATTGTTGTTAACGATTTTATAAGATTCATTCCTTTCAAATAAAGGAATTTTACAACTGAACGATGTTCAATTTTTTCCATTTTATAAAAAATTACTAAGGTACACTCCACTCATTTTAATTATTTGTAAAAAAAATCTAACCAAACATCTGATGAAGTCGAAACTTAAACAGCTGTCGTTTAAAACAAATATATATAGATATACAAAATATAATTGATTTTGTTCTAGTGTTACCACCAGTTGTGTGAAGTCAGGTAATTAACAATCCACCGAGTATGTATAATTTTAGTTAGAAATTAAATTATTTAATTTTATTTCTATTATAGAGGCTAAGGTTACTGTTAAAATCAATAAGCTAAGCTTATAAAAATTTGATGTTCTAGATAAAAAATATTTTTTCGACTAAAAAATGTATTATTAATATATTATATTATATCAGCCTAGCACTGTTAATATATATAAGTTGATGTTGAATTTTTTTTTCGGGCACCTTTGCTCTTTGATAGCTGGGGGATTTCTGCAGAGTCTACATATGTATATATATATATTATCTTAAAATTTTGTAATTTCAATATATGAAAGTTATATTCACTGCTACAAATAAATATTGAGGTAGAAGTCAACTGAAGGCGAACATTAACCCAAATTTCGATCAATTAGATTATAGATTTTATGTTGGGTTACGGGCAGTCTAATATTGATGTCGCAAGTTCTCTAAAGCGTAGTAAACATAATCTTGTAGATCTTAAAACTATATGTCAATGAAAGAGATTGCTTACTAAATTTGAAGTCATATTCGAAGCAAATGCTTACTTTGAAGCTAAAGGTAAATCATTCAAGTAATATTGTATTATAATTGGTTGTGATTGTATTGTTTTTTCGGTGTGCTCATAATAATAAAGTTGAATAAATAAAGTTGACTTTTACAAAAAATGCATTCTGTATTACATTTTATATACATTTGGGTTGAGTTGACAACCGATATAGTTAAGCAGCACAAGAGAACAAGAGGTAAGAAAAACAAAAGAAATGTTGTAAGCTAATTATTTATTCACAACATAACTATTTGTATGAAAGCTATATCGACAAAACAATAAAGTTTATTTAGTAATGAAATGAAAATCTCACTATTCACTACTATTCACCAGCTAGAAATTGCACAAAGCCAGGCTCTGAGAAGACTTTTCAAAGTACCATGGTACATTAGGACGAATGACATCCTCAGGGACATCAAGATTGATCCCATCAAAAAATACATAAAGGATGGAGCCCTGAAATTATTTGCGATATATGACAGGCTTACCAACACCGCGTTATCAAATCTCTGAATGGTAACAGGCTCCTCGGGGAGGTATGCAGATCTGAGGTCAATTATTGTTTAGTCTGATGAAGTGATAAACAATAATCTAGTCAAGGCGTAGAGAGGGGTTTTAAAGAAATCTCGAATTAAAAAAGTGTAACAGCTTGAACATAATAATTTAGTAATGAGAATATTTTCAATATTTGATTGATTTGCTTAGAAAATGATATTGACTACTTCTTAGAACAATCTTAACACTTACTTTTATTCGTGTACATATCATTTAAAATTATTTGTGTTATTTTATTAATGATTTCATTATTTGGAGATATGTTGTAGAATGTTATGATAATCATAGTCCTCATAAGGTTATGAGCTGTAAACCCTACTGTGATTATATGATGTATGACTTAATTATAGACATAAGCAAATTAAAAAATATCCAATCTACGGAAGCGCTATACTGATTCTGCAAAAATATTTTTAATTATTTTCGATTGACGTTTTAAAACCTTAAACATTTTTTAATTTATATGTTTGTTTTTTCACTCACAAACACATAAATGTTTCTTTATGTAAAAACAGACATACCCTAAATACTTGATACACAGTAGATATGTAAAGATTCCGTAGAGGAACAAAGTCCGCTTAGTTTTTCGGATGTGTGTACTTCCGTTTATTGAATTTTGTTTTAAATATAGAAATCCGGCATTCTTATATTTAGTATCTTTGGCCTACATACAAACTTTTCTTTATGTTTGTTTTAAACTTAACAGAATTTGTTTTTTTTTTGTTGCGGTTTAAAACGTGACTAAACTTAAAGAGTAGTGACCGGGCAATTTTTTTTTAGTTATATATAATGATACAAAATTCTTTAAAAATTAATCTATAGTACTTTCGAAAATATCAAGTAGTGAAAATGATTGTTTTTTTTTTTCAATGAAAAAGGGAGAGAAAAACAACAATTAAATTAATATAAAATAAATAAACTATACACAAAGGCATAAGCATATCAATTCTGATGAAAGTGAAAGCAACTGAAGAAGTCATTATCACTTGAACTTAAAGTTCAAATACTTAACATTCCCTTGGTGCTAATCAATTCGGTTGATATGGCGCAAAGACTGAGACGTTTACTTTCGTTTATTTTTTTAAGTGTAGACAATTACAATAAAAACAACAACAAAAACGGCACTTTAATATGTAATAAATAAATGATTTCTGCTAGAATAAAATTTATTACATCCATAATGTAAATATCAGTAGCCGATATGTTGGACATTAAATAGAATGAAATACTTTACGATGCTCATGACAGCTAGACCCCCTTGAATATAACATATTTGAAGACTGTCACCTTTGCCTTATTTTAAACATAATGTCGATTTATGCTCTGCAGCAAAGCAAAAAAAATTCATTTAAAAATAATAATAATAATAATAATAATAATAAAATAATAAATAATAATAATAATAATAATAATAATAATAATAATAAATAATAATAATAATAATAAATAATAATAATAAATAATAATAAAATAATAATAATAATAATATATAATAATATAAATAATATAATAATAATAATAATAATAAAAT